TGATTAAGAGTGTCAATTAAGATTCAAACAGATCTGTGACAACAGCAGAACCAATTTCCTTTTCTATGTGTAAAAAACTTTTTTAGTAAATAAATTTGGACAACAGCATTCCTTGCATTATTTATTAATGCACACCAGTGCAGTTACTGAAAAACAATTTCTGAACGATGCTGGACTGTAACCACTAATGCACTTGATGCTAAATTGATGACAAGTTAGGATTGAGGTTCAGGCACGGCGAATCGTCTGGTCCACAGCCTCGCATTTGCATCATGCTCATCTGTTTTATCTTCCTTGCTTCTTCTTAATACTTAAGCAATGGAAAGTGTCAGAGGATCATCTGGAACAGAATAAGGAGGGACCGTTAAGATGAAAGTTGATACAAATTCAGTTGTAGTTATCCTCATTTTTTTCTGGTTGTGTTTCCCATTGTACCCTTTAGACCCTCGAAAGAGAATAGTACGTACCTTCATTTGGTTCCCCAAGGAGCTGGTGCAAGCTTATTAAGATACTCGAAATGGTCATCCCACTCGACCATGAACCTCCGTCTGCAGGCATTTTTAACGTGTTCAGGCACACATTCCCGAGTTTGTTGAAGTTACAATGGTAAATTCGTGTCTTAAAGACTACCTGTAATGAAACAAAGTTGTCATTTCAGTATCGGTGGATTGGAGAATGTGGTGCATTTACACAGACTTTGCTCTTATTTTATCGGGCAAATATGTATTGCAAAAATTATTGATGAAACTTATTAAGATTTGAGGAATGAAAAAATATTTATGAGAATAACCCCAGTGTTGGCCAGAACTCCTCAGAATGAATTTTTAGTCTTGAAATAACCAATCTATGCTTAAGATAACCAGAAAGTAAGATAATAACAAACGTTGCAACTACTATAATTTGTTTCAGACTTTTGCACTAGATATTGTAAAGTAAGTATATTGTGTCGAGTTCCCTCAAGTTGATTAAAAAGTACACACCTGGGTAGTTGTCAAAAACCACGATGCATTTCTCAAATACACGCTGAATACTAATCCCAGAAGTGTCTTTTTAGTTTTGTGGTTCGGTCTAAGAGATTGCATTCCCACTTTACGATAATGGCCTTTAAAAAAACAGTACACTTACCTTTGGGGGGAAACCGGATAATCATAGTAGAAGTACATTGAGAAATTGAATCCCCCCCTCCCTCGTAGGGTGAGTTGATGGGGCCTTCCATGACCCATGGAGTAAAGCGGTATGGAGTAGAAGCTTTATCGTCCCGGGGCCCTGCGCGCCTGCCTCCCCAAACGTCTGACGGACGAACGGTTTGAGCTACAGACCTGGGTCCTTGACATGTGTGTCGGGGAAGGTCTAACCAACCGGAAGATACCCTTGGTTGTTCGATCGGACACACTGAACGGTCTCCACAGCGCCGTAAGGCCCGCGCGCCAGCAGCGCACCGTCTCCCGCCCCGTCTCAGCCCAGCGCCAGCCGCTAGGAGCAGCACTGTCGCGCGCCGCCGATACTCCGCGATCCGGCTCCGGCTAGCGCGCATCGAACCCCTCGTAGCATCGGTAATTACCGACTTATAACTCAAATCTAGCTTATCGTTGTGATTTCACGACCAAGACCACCCGCATCCCAGACCAAGCACTGCGCGAGCCTGATCGCGGAGTATCGGCGGCGCGCGACAGTGCTGCTCCTAGCGGCCGGCGCTGGGCTGAGACGGGGCGGGAGACGGCGCGCGGCTGGCGCGCGGGCCTTACGGCGCTGTGGAGACCGTTTGGCGTTTGGTGTGTCCGA